GGGAGCGTGGGAGACGCTACCTGCCATGTTGTTGAAGCCCTGCCTTCTTTCGAGGGTTAGATGAGACGCTCAGGCCAATTCGATTCAAACACTGGCTGAAAGGCCTCCTCTGGTGTGCAGGCTTTTGTATTCATCTCCACTTCAACTATGGCTCCAGAGAACAGATTTGACTATTTGATTGAGAAGTTGTAGAGTCACAGTGAAAGTGTTCAATCAATAAAGATTTCTCAACACACTTAAAAGCCTTTGTCCCCCCCTCTACCAAAAGAATCAAATCAGTTTTATCAGAATCAGAAATGTTCACAGAAAATGCAAGAACATTCAATGAAAAAGTAGCTGGAACCAATGATACTACATTGATGCCTTGCATATCGACATTCTTACTGTTGTTCATCAAACTAATGAAACTGGATTGAACCACTACAAAAATACGACTGGGTCCTAAAGCCTTTGGTGAAAATGGCCAAATGAATGCAAACAGTCACATGAAAAATAAAAAAAACATGTTCAGTAAAGATGCAGTAATAATTGAAATCTGAGATTTAGAGTAAGAACAATTCAGCACAGTGCTCATCTCACATTTGTCCTTATTGAAAGCTGTAGGTTATTGAAATACATGCACCACACATGCAATCACAGCCTATTAGCCACAATAATGTGAACATTAATTCTGGCTTTTATCTTCCTCATATTGCAGAAAGATGTCAACCCCGGCTTTGTTGAGTTGTGCACAGTGATGTATGCCTGAGACACTCTGCTTCTCATGTTCAAATGAGTCCAGTTAAAATAGACAAATCTCTCATCAGAAGGTTCCATGTTTCCTCAGTAGAAACAGCTCAAGTTTTGTTCTGGCTGCACTCAAAAGAGATAATTGGCTTTTTCCATTGTAATGTAAATAATCTGAGCACACAGTTGAAGGGTGTACTGTGCTTTGTGCTGATGATATTGAGATTAAATAGAGTACATTCATTTATATTAATTACATATTTTGCGCTTAGCTTCAAACACCATTGTATATTTTCACAAAAACCTGATTCAAAGTGATGATTGTTTTTTAGTGAGTATTGTAGCCTTCCTTATACAATCACGTCTGGGTTTGCTCACACATCATGTGAAGAACAATTCCTTGAGGCTGATGGATTAATCTGAAAAGTCTGAAAAATGAAAAATCCTTTGCAAAAACAATGAAATTGAAAACATCCCCTGACAGCTGAAGGGCTTGTGTAAGTGATTTTGATAAATCAATTTTTTTTCGAACAGTTGCACAACTTTTATAGATTGCTGTTCTGCTTTTTCTTTGGTTTCTTTCGTAAATCATTATCTATATTTAGATAAACTGACGCATCAATTCTCCCAGGAAGAGGACATAAATCACTGATGGCCCCAGTTTAGAATTTTTTTAGAGAACAACTTATAGGTGTATTTTGGTGTGGATAATAAACCGCAGTTGTCTGAGTACTGTGGTGTGTCGCCCAGGCAGACACCACAACTGTCTGTGCCATTGAGATGATGATGTGAATACAGGACATGTGTCTGGAAGATTAAGCAAAAGCTCTGCTGACTAACACTCTCACAATCAAAAAACGTTCCTTCAATTTGGCGATAACAAGGCTGTTACTTTAGACTGGACTTTTTCACTAAATTAAATCCACATTTGTTAATGCTAGCTTGTGAATCATGCAAGCAGATTCATCAAAAAGTGCTTTGGTTGTAATTTTCTTCAGAGCAACAGTCTTTGTGTTTTTGCTACACAGTCACTGGTGCAGATGGTCCTAAGATGAGTCTACAGGTACAAAATTCTGAAGAGGAAATTGGTTCATGCAGGGAGCAAGAAAAAACTTATGCCCACGTTTGATTTGGAAAATTAGTAGAGTTTAGAACTCCCTAAAGAATCTATATACTTTGAATGTGCTACCATTAAATACAAAGAGAGCTCTGTGGTCGCAGCAGTACAAGGTATGGCAGTAGAAGGCAGTTTGATAATCATTGTATACATGAGTTCTTTGTCTTTCCTTAGAAAGAGCCTCCATAGCCAGAGACAAGAAGGCTGGCTCTACTGCACAGAGTTTTAGGGTGGAAAGGGCTTTTGCATAGTCCAGGGGGATTCTCCAATATTTCAGCAGGCACCAGAGATTCAACCATTTCAGGCCACTGAACCGTTTCAGTGCTGAGGAAATATGCTCTTTGGTTTGTTACTGGAAAACAAATCAGATAAAAAATAACTCAACTTTGAGTGTTGGTTGAAGTCTGTCAGGGTATCTTAGAATTGTTTTTCATCACAAAGAGGTTCTTATTTTCTTCCAGAGTAAGTGCTTTTAAACCTAAAGCAGAACAAAAATGAGTTTAAATGTTACTGTTATGACTGCCCTCCGTACAGACGAATTATTTTATTGTAACCTCGTGGAAAAGTCCTTCCTTTATATCCTTACTTTAATTTATGTGGAGGAAAATAAATACTGCAGTGATTGATTGTCCAGCTCTCTCACGCTATCATTGAGAGAAGGTTTCTTCCATAAACTGCATCTTAGCAGACCTAAGTGATTTATACCTCGTGCTGGCCCATATAGTGCAGTCTTTGTACTTGCACTATATGGGCACGGCATCAGTAATAGGGCCTTTCTTATAATACCCAGTATTTCCCTTTCCAAAACACTCAGTGCCTTTCTTCAGTGCCTTAAACATGGCACTCTAATATCATATTATCTTACAAATGCTGCGTTAAAGGATAAAAGATTGTTATGTAGTAATTGCATAAAACCTGGCTTCATCCCTCTAAATATATAAAAATATCAATATTTCCACGGTCTTACATCTGCATCTATAAAGGAAACAACAGGGGCCTGTTTGTCCAGTTTCTCCCTTTTCGTGCAGTTTCTGTTAACATCCTCAAAAACCGTAATAATGAAACTCTTGAATGTAAATGTTGATAAATGCGCAGGAATATTATAGAAGTTTGATACTATCCCCTCTTTTGAGAAATAAAGGTCACAGTACTTATTTCTCTGGATGTGCCTTTTATACTGAATTGTAAAACCCCCTTTTTATCTCCTGCGGGTTGAAGCTGTGTCTCTTGCCCCTCAGTAGTTGATCGGGCTTGCTTCAGCTGTAGCTGCTGAATTTCAGTCCAGTCACCGTTAAAAGCACACACTGGAGACTCTGTGATGAGAGGGGAAAAAGGGACTTCCATTATAGTACTCAGCGAGAATTCAAATTGAAGAGAAACCTGGCAAGATTCACGATTCACGATTCACGATTCACGATTCACGATTCACGATTCATGATTTAAGATTTCTTTATTTGCCATATACAACAAGTGTATTGGAATGCTTACTCGTTCAGCTGTACCCAGTAACATTAGAGAAAAAAAATTAGGCACAAATGACAAACAGACATGGAAAATAAGTTTAGACAATAGACATGATAATACAGCCAAGACAGGACATAGTGCCAACAGTGCAGTACCTTAAAGTGCAGGTGCTAATATGTGGAGGTGCCAATTTGAGCTATTTAAGATGCGGACTGTTTGGGGGAAGAAACTGTTTTTGCATCTATTTGTCAGTGTTCTGATACTGAGATACCTCCTACCAGAACCCAGGGGTGAAAACAGATCGTGGCCAGGGTGAATTGGGTCCCGAAGTGTAGCTCGAGCCCGGTTGTGGCCGCGATCGAGATATATCTGGTCGATGGAGGGTAGCTCGGTCCCAGTGATCTTCTGCGCGGACCTCACAACCCTCTGTATGGCTTTTCTCTCCTGTACTGTGGCTCCACCACACCACACTACACCGTAATACCACCGGTCAGGACACTCTCAATGGTATTACGGTAAAAATTGGTGAGTGTTGTCTTGCTCAACCCCCACTTCCTTAACCGTCTCAGGAAGTGAAGGCGCTGGTGGGCTTTAGTGAGGATGGCAGCAGTGTTCTCTGGCCAGCTCAGCCCCTCAGTGATCTGGAGGCCGAGGAACCTGAAGGTGTTGACAGTTTCGACTGGAGCCCAGTGAATGATGATGGGAGTCCGACGTCCACAGCGCCTCCTGAAGTCCACTATAATCCCTTTTGTTTTGCCGATGTTACGTGTGGGGTTGCTGTTGTGGCATCACTCCACCAGCTCTGCTACCTCGCTCCTGTATGCGGTTTCATCATTGTTGCTGATAAGACCGTTTACTGTGGTGTCATCACAGGTGCGGTTGCTGTTAAATCTAGCCCACACAGTCATGTGTAAATAGAGAATTCAGGGATTCCGGGATCGAAATGTTAGTTTATAATGAAGGTGCTGGGCTCCTTGAAAATTAAAACATCACCGTTTGGCTTCCAGCTGCTTCTTACTCGAGACTTTCTGCGTTCTCTGCGCCAGGGCAGCGTTTTCCGTGGAGTTATTTCTCACACACCCACCCCAGCGCCCACGACACAGGAGAGTGTGAAATCGCAAGCGAGCTCGTATCACACACGCAGAAGTTATGTTGTAGTGAGAACCTCGTGCACGATGTCAGTTTCATCTGGGCAGAAAAGGAAGACCACAAACCGCTATCGCAGAGAAATAGACCTCGTTAGACGTTGTGCGTGAGTACTTTAGTGTGTAGCTTCGGTGTCCCTGCTACATACAGGGTATTACTAATATGCTTGTCCTGTTGGGACAGCTGATGGCTTCACTAACAGCTTTATTTTGATCAGCCACTTTCGTTTTGTGAGTTTCTCATTTTTGTCATAGGTCTGCAATACCAGTGGAGGATGCACGACGGCAAAATGGATGATTTTTAGTTTTGTTTGATACCGGCGCTGCTTTGTTTTAGTATTGATTTAATTGCATCATGTTTAGTTTCTTTTTCGGTCCCGTGGTGACACGTTACGTACGTCAGGTGTGGTGCATTTATTTACAAGGGATTCCCGTGTGCCTCGCGTGGGTGGACTGCACGAGGTCTCTCCAGCTGGAAGCTGAAACAGTTGCCGTGTTGTTTGTTTTCTGGTCGCTAGGGGTGGAGCCACCCAGATTTTTTTCTCTCTTCTTCTCCCTCTCTTCTGCGTTGTACTGTATTTTTACATCCCTGCTTACGTATGGCGGAGGCTTAAGTCGGTTCCGCATTCCCAAACCCTCCCAGATAGGGATCGGTATAAAAACGGGCTGATGCAACGCTTTCCACTCTTTAAAACCTACGTCCGACCTTCAGCTGACCTGAAAAAAGAACGTCTATCGGATTTAGGAGTAAAGTCAGGTAAATAGAAGAGATCTTTTTTTTTTTTGACAAAAAATATTATAATTGGACATCTATCAGTTAGAGTCACGCACCGAGTTTGAATAAAGTTTGGCCACTTTTTTTAAAACAAGGTTTCGGACTGCAGTGCCTGGTGTATGAACAGAACAAGCGTCATGCCTATCTGGGTGTAGGATTGTCAGTTATATTATCTATTTTTTTTGTAAGCAATACTATTGTTTTGCATGCATTGTGTAGCTGGGTGCCCTTTCTTCGTCTGCACATTTTTTGCAATATGTTGCACAATATTGAGTACTCGGCACTTTCGCTTGCTTTTTTCCAGCAATAATAACTAGAGATTTGAGACAGAAAAGTAACTAATGAGAGTCAGATGAAACATGAAAATGCGTGTCGATCCGGTTTTTTTTTACGTAGACTTGTTTGCATTAGTGTGAGCTCTGTTGTTAGACCATTAAAGTTAACGGCGTTTAATTAGCTACAGAAGTTACACGACGTTACGTAAGACAGAGAACATTACTAATTGAACAACAACTTCCGCTTTGGAAGTTGTTTGGTGTAGTTTTTTAAAAATGGGTTTTGTGAACGTTTATCCACAAATGGAGGAAAACGTTTTGCCCCTTCTAGAGCAGATGATGATTTGAGTTGAGCACATTTTCAAGTTAATTTGCCTTGAGATGAAATGTCACAAGTACTTCAAAGTTGTTACTGCTTCATCATTCTTTTTACACGTTCGGTTTTTGCAATTCTTTAGTTCTTAGAACTTATTACAAATTTGTCTTTACACAATGTGTCTTTTTCAAGTGAGGATTGTCTCTAAAAACAAATTGGAACTCCTCTAAAGCGAATAGAGTAGGGTAGGAAGCATGTTTAATAAGTGACTTAAAGACCACAGAAGTAAATCGTTTTTGCACTTGCAATAATAAGGAATTCAACTTAGCTGTTCGACTAATGTTTGTCAAAAAATGACAATGTGCTACATGCCTGCTGAATCGCTGAAAGCTGTAACAGATGTGGTTGTGAAAAATAATGCACAGCAGGAACATGAGAATTCCGTGCAGGTATTAATTTGGGTATTACTTGTGTAGGTGTTCGTGAAACACATGATTCATGCTTTGATATCAAAGGGCCGCAGCTTTAAAAATGTGTATATATACACATTTTAAATGGTCGAATTAATGTGGGCGTTCTGTAGTTGATGCATCCTTTGCGGGGCTAAACGCAGATGAACTGCTATGAGATGAAGCGTTTTCCCCGTGAAACGCAGGAATGGAACATAAATCTGTGCAGCTCAACTTGCTTTCCCGGCGAATTCTTCAGAAATATTTCCTGTGCGGTGCGATGACCCAAGCTTAATGTGCCATGTCTGTGCTAGTAGGCAGTTTTCTACAGTGTGGCACTGCTTATGTATCAATAACTGGGTTTGTCACACTTGGTTCATTTGGAATGAAAGCATTTCCCCTTGGAACCGAGTTTCATGAACATGGCTTCCTGTAAAAATGCTGAAATTACGCTTTTCTGTCATAGTCACGGAGGTCTAGTAACATCGTGTTATGTACTATACGTGCGTATGTTTTTTCCCCAATGTTATATTAAAACACTTTGCACTCAGAAAACTTAATACACTATATTTTTTTGTTTGCACGATCACGGAGGACAAGTACAAGTTTAACGATTATGGGACGTCATGTGTTCTTCATATACTTTTGACTGCCTCGAAGCGATTTTTTTTAAAAAAAAAAAGATCCATCCCTCCTCGGAGTATTCCAGCAAATTGAATTTACCTTAACATTTGGGATTTAGTATGATATGCTATAGCTGAGGGCTGTGATTTAGACTGTTGTTTCTTTTGATATTTCTAATAAAACTACGGTATAATGGTGAAACCCTTGTGCTCTAGTGCAGAGTTTGCTTAACTCTTCCAGGGAAACATTTTGAATATTTAAAGACAGGTGTTCCTAAGAAAACGTCTCATAAGTACCTAAAAGAAAACCATTTTTTTTTAAATTAGATGTCTTTGTGGAAAACGAGATGGAGTTTATTTATTTGGGTGTAAGTGTCTGATCAGTTCAAATTCAGAAAACAGATTTTTACTAAAACTATTTACTAAGCATTCTGGCAACACCTGAAGAGAAAAGGATCAGAAAACTCATGAAGCTTAATAAATGCAGTCATGGAGATGTACCAGCAGGACCAAAAAAAATGTCCTCAGTAGATGGTGAAATAAGATGTTTTGCTTTAAGATTTTTCCCCCTTCGTTCTCTTTGTGGGTGTCCAAGCAAGTCAAAATGGTTTAAAATAATTGGTGTTACAAAAGTCATATGGGCCCTATTAATGATCTTGTTGCTGTCAGGTCTTTTATCATTGAAACCCCATCAATTTATTTAAGTGAGACCTCAACAGTTTCAATATGATGTCAGTATACTGTAGTTAGCCTATGTATTTATTCCATTGTGGCCTGAATGAGTGATTTTGTTTGAAAACAAACATCTATAGGAATTGAATGTTTAAGTTGAACATTTTCAGGTTTTTAATTCCAGTTCTAGAACTTGTAAGGTGTACACCCAAAATGTTACGGTCAGCCTCTAAATGACAAAGGAAGCAATGGACATAAATGGTAGGAAAATATTTCAAAACCCTGAAGCCTCTGGTTTATTCAAAGGGACAAGGACAGCTATTAAAAGCCATCTGTTGTATTTTTGTGAAAAAAGATGACATTGCTCTTAATTAAGGAGAAGAGACTTAAAATATTTTGGGTAATTTTGTGTTTATGTTTGGGTAATGTTAAGGAGTCCTATGTTGTTGTTTTTTTCAGGCAAGAACCAGAAAAGATAGCAATTCATGATTAATTGCCAGAATTTGACACCTCACCTGCGCATCAGCGATATTGCAGGTTGAGCTTGGTTCATGACGCAAGTCAAGGTGTTAAGCTCCTGATTTCTTCCAGTCATTCCAACAAAAATACTTTCAGTGCCTTAATCTGAAAACTGTTTCCCAACATGTCTTTAAAGGGAACACTCCTAGCAATCCAACAATAAGCCACAAACATTCGTTAGTTCGCCTATTAAGATATCGTTTTGGTGATATTTCAGAAGTATATAAAATTACAACAGCTTTGAGATGCCTTAAAGGTCAAAGTCATTAAAGCCTTTATTACTTTGGCTTATTAATATAATTGCACAGCTAAGCAGGTTAAATTGTATCCCACATGTGTCTTCCAGATTTTCAGGCCTTGTGTTTGTTTTAAACAGATTGTGAACAAAGTTTAATTTTAAACTTGCCAAAGTGATGCATGCAATGTTAATTTTCCCTACATAGCTTTCTCTTGAATGGTTGGTCGAACCCCTATCTGCTCAGGGGTGCACCGAGGAGTAGGAGTGTCATAGAAACCTGGAACCTGGAGACTGCTTTCACAAAGCAGTGCAGTCCTCTCTGAACCCCGCGGGGGCTGCCTGCCCGTGTTAAGGTTTGCCCTGCGTGCAGTTTGTGTCATGGCAGATGCCAAACCCTGTTTATCACAAGGCAATCCATATAGCCCGGATGCCTTTGTTTGTTTTTGAAGGATACAATTATTTTCTTCTGTCGCAGGAAAGTGTGAAAAAGAACATTCCGAAATGCAGCAAAGATTTGTTTCTCCAAAAAAGATGTCTCTGTGAGCTTTTACCAGGTTCGCCACTTTTGCGCAGGTTCTTAGCTCAATAGTAGTTTCATCTGTTGGCTTCGTATGCTGTGTGTATTCAGCATATGGACTCCTAAACAAAACCATGCCGTCCTTTTCAGATCTGCTGGTTGCTTGTTAATGAAACCCATTCTGCTTGCGTAAACCTGTTCAGTGTGTTACATAAGACACAAGGTGTTTCCTTAGCCAGCTCTTTTGCAATGTAATGCACCAGAATAACTTGACTGACTCCCATGAATGACATGGAGTTGCCTGGATAGCTTAAATAAACTTTTGAATGGGTGTTGTAAATCTGGCACGAGAAGATCTTGGTTGAAGTTTCAAAGTCTTGCACGGGGCAGAAAACAGTGTACACCCTGGTTCCTGCTCTCGTGGAACAGTGATCCCGCTCAGGGGAATCCTCTGTAAGACTGCTGGTGGTGAGTAAATGTACGAACCCAGGCTGCATGTACAGTACAAGCCTCTCCAGATTCGCAAACTAAGAGCTGAATTTGAACCACCCTCCAACGCCAAAAAAACGACCCTTTCAGACGTGATGTCTGCCAAGTCCGGTTTCATTATGAAGCAGTGACGCCTGCATGCACTGCAGATGTTTAATTCTGAATTCTTACAGTTTCTAACGCTCTTTAGTTGAAAGACTAGGATATCATTAAAATGTGCCTCACCAGCGGTAGACATTAGCTGGGTCTTTGCTGGTGTTGAAAGCTACCAGTGTGGAAGAGACAAAAGGGACAAAGGAGAGTCTTTTGTGGTCAGTACACAATTTACAGTGGCCAACAAGTTGCTGTTGCTTAATAAAAAACCTATTTTTGCTAGGGAACGCCATTGGCTCTGCAGCTGCTGAGCTGAATAATCTTTGTCAGACTCTGTCTGTCTGGACAAGAGAGGAAAGGAGGATTAAGACCACAGAAAATATACTCTTGTTCCCAGAACAACTTGGGTTTGTGGACATTAAGCTGTGCTGCAGACTTTGGGGGTGGGGCAATTGTTTCCAGAGGTGCCCCTCATACCCTCTGTTGGGGTCTCTGATAAAATGTGGTTGCCACAATTTTGATGGGAAAACATTTATTGGTTGCACACTTAATTAAGTCTCTTTTTGTAGCTTTTTAGATTTTGCTTGTGCTATAAAACCGTTCCACTCAGAACAGTTCCTAAAAGTGGGGTACAACAAATCATAGGCTTGATTGTAGTCTGATAACAGGTTTTAAATTCGGTGCAATTTTCAGTTGTGATCTTTTGCCCCTTTACAAAAAAAGGGGAAAAATTCACAGTTCACCCTCCCTCTGCAGCAGTAAATCGATACATGAGATGTCCGTGTCTCTTCTGGTGCGAGAAAGGCCTGAAATGGAGACGAGCGAAGATAAATAGCGAGAATAAATTGTGGCTATGTTTTCATAGCCTTTCGCTGCTGAAAGAAGTCATTTTTGGAGGGGTTTTGGGTTCATTGCCTTTGTCTCCAGTGTTTCCCTCATTTTTCTAAACATACGATGTGGAAATAATTTTGGTGCATTTATGTTCTTCCTAATGAGCTCTCAATTGATATGCTGATAGTTTAAGTGTTTATTTGACTTATTCAGGGTCTGCAATGTGGAATACATAAGAGGAATTTAAACAGAGCCTGGAAACTCAGTGCCTGCTCCCTTTATTCAGCTTGCTCCTGTTAGCAATGTTGTTTTTTAACATTCATCTTCCAAGAATCAGAATGCTCTCTTTATGCTAAAGGTTCCTTCAGAGCTGGAGCTGTTAATTGCCTGGAGGAATGGAGCAGGAAATAGTCCCATTTCGACAGGCGCGGGGTTTAGACATAGATGAATTATGCAACTGGAGTGATCTAAAGGCTTGTGCAGTATTTTGTAGAAAATGTGCAGGAAAAATAATAAAAAAAAAAAATTCTGAAGCACACACATGTCCGAAAAAAGCCAAAACCCCAAGTATGCTTGTTCTGGCAAGCAGCCAGAATTTCTTGAGTGCAGTTTTATTCTATTTCATAACTAGTACATAACATTTCCGCTCTGTTCCCCTCTAGACTTCGGACACTGCTGCCACTGCTCAGTCCTAGAAAGCAGTGCCTGCAAGCCTAGTACCTCTTGAGTGAGACTCTTTGTTTCAGGCACATTCTTCAGGCCTCTGCAGTGGCATTGCTTTTTCTGCTTCGCTGCAAAAACATAGCAGGGCTGTTGCGTCATCAAAATGAAAGCTCATTCTCTGTTAACCTCAGTAAGGAAAGCTTTTAGGTTCGAGATCTTGAGCGTCAACACCCCAGCTGCCTCCCAGTCAGTTCCTTCCCAGTCTGGCATTTGTTTCATAGGTTGCAAACAAAGTTCAGTGAAGATGTCTTGTTTATCCATTTAAACTGTAAAAACAACACACAAAAGTTGTTATTTTTTTATTTTTACTGCTCGAGTACCTGCTTGCCCATACTGGCCAGTCAGTAGGTGTTTTGGTGTCAGGACAGGACTGTCTGTAATGAGAATGCAATGCTATAGCAGGCCAGTTCTTAGCAATTGGGATCAGGGTGTCTGACATCTGTCCTCAGTGCTGGGTCTGTGCTGGCTTTTCAATTGGAGTCTCAACTTATTTCAGTAGCATTTGGCTAACAAGAACATGAGCATGTGAGAAATCTCTTATGTCTAGTAGAATGACTCCAGAGGTACCTGTGCCCTTAAAAACCTGCTCCAATCATGTTTCAGCCAGCAAGAGGAAAAAGGAAAGCCCAGCCTGTTGAGTGCAGTGGGGAGGAGATGATAAATGTATACAAAAGCTCTGCTGTAGACTAACCGTAGTTCTGAATGTTTTCTGGGGAGGTTTGAGGGACTTAGGGTACCTGTCCTTAACCTTGTGGTTCCAGTGGGCAGTTGATCTGTTCAAAGTGATTTGATAATGCCGTGTCTGGCATGGAAACAGAAGTTATCAAAAACCACAGAGGTCTCAAGTTGGTGTCTGTTTTTTTTCCTAAGGAATTTTACCTCCCTAGGTGGATTTGTGAAATTTGTATCGTTATTGACTTTGTGTACTATACACACACAAGCTCTTAAGATGGTTTCTGGAAATCAGACTTGGCACTTTTGAAACCGAGGAACAGTTGGTAAACAGACTGGGCTTGTTTCATAATATCCTGTTCTAGAAGCACTGTGGCTTGAAATTGGAGTTGAATTAGGCTTTAAACCAGACAGATAATGAGTGGCTGAGTTTGCTTGGCAAGTCAGGACAGGTGAGGTATGAAAAACCACATGAGCAAGGAGAAACCTTTGTAGTAATCCCTCTGCACAATGAACTTTGAGGAAAGAGAAGGCAGAGCTTTGTGAAATTTAAGATGAACAGCCTAACTCGCTGTGATTGTCAATTTTGCTGATCTGGCTGTTAGGATGTTGAAAGCTGAGGATGGGGACAAAACAGTGAGGCTGGTATGTCCGCCTCACATTGACAGCCACCCACACAGACCTGCACACACAGAAAACCTTGTACTGTGCAAACCTAGGGAGAGCATGTTTCTTGGCACTGCTCTCCACAAATCTCCTTGGGCTAAATGGGGAATGCGTCTGTGTCTGCCTGTGAGTCGAGCTCTTCATTACAGCTCCAGTAAAAACACATTTGCTTTGCCAAGAGCGCTGTAAATGGAAGTATAGATACTGTAAAATAAAAAATTAATAACAATAAAGTGGTTTGCTGGAAACTGGCTTGGATCTCCCACTCGGTCCCAGGCCAACAATTCATGCCTCTGCTGCTGGCTCGGTCCCGGCTGACCCAGGGAGAGCGTCGTGTCGAACACGGGTGTCTGCGTGATGAGCGCTCGGGGAAACGGACTGGTTCTGCCACCGTGCAGCCCGGCAGCGACGAGGCTCTGTAATGAGAAAAGACTGAAGCCGGGATCTCCCCGCGGATTAAAACAGCACTGGATGGGGTGGAGTGTGGGGTGGTATCTTTTAACATTAAAAAAAAGAGGTTGCATAACCCTGTATTCTTTAATAATGTGCTGCAGCAAAGCGCGATTAGGTAATAAGGGAAAAAGCTTCATTTACTTTTTTTGTTGGAGACCTGCTGTCCCAGATTTGGTTCCCTGCCCAGTGCTGTCAGGCAGTTTACTGCCATTATTAAGATGATTCAATTGCAGCTTTTCACTAATCAATTTTGCAATGATGGTCCGGCCTTGCCAAGACATCATTATAACTTTTTTTTTTCTCTTCTTGGTGCAGGGGTGGAATACCCAGAGTTGGTCTCAGGTTGCAGTATTATGTCGTTTGTAACATTTGTTTTTAATTTAACCGATAGTCTTTACCAAGACCTTCTCTTACGATAATTACAAAGATTCCTTGCTTCTTGAGCTATTTCCTCTGTGCATTAAAGCTGCATTCCCCTAAATTATACTTAATGCAATTTGTTGTTTTTTTTTTTACATTTTAAACTGTAGGGTGGATTTATCAAAGCCTGACTTGCTTCACAAGTTATTTCACATTTTGCTTTTGTGGGGGGAAAAAAAATATCTGCAGTGAAATAACATCCTGTAAATTTTTGCATTTAAATACAAGCATTTTCTTGCAAATACAACCGGTCTCTTGTATTTACAAGAAATTCAGAAACGATCTTGTCTTTTTAAAATTAAACTTAACACCGACAAGGGTCAGCTGTGCTAAAACTGAGAAGCCATATCTTTGTCACCTCATGGGTACCTAGTGCTTTTCTTGAACTTCAGAGACGGTTCCGTTTGTAATATCTCATCTAAAAACGGATCCCTTGCTGTGGGTCCCTTCACCGCAGACAGAGAGGGCCTCAGAGGCCATTGCAGTTCCTCGAGAGACTAGGGCAATCTGAAAATTTAAGTTGGCAGGTCGTGTCTCCTCTAGTATTGCAGAGGTAGTCAATGATGATATTGCAGTGTTGCTGGTGTGATGGGGGCTGCTTGGCTCGGTGGATGGGTTGGGTGTGGGAGGAGAAATGGCAGGAGGAGGCTCTCTGGAAGGAAGGCCTTGGTGCTTCTGTAGCTGCTGTGTGTCTAGCAGGTTTGGCTGCGGCGCGGTTTCTGCTGCCTCCAAGGTGGGACGGCGCACTTGCACGATTGCTGTTTCCTTCCAGTCTCCCCACCCCGGCTCTGCTCTGTGTCGCTGTGGCGTCTCGCGTCGGGTGTTGGGATGCTGGGTCCAGAGCTGGACGCGGGTGGGGCCGGTCGCCGTGGCGGCAGCAGCCCCCCTGGTAACGGTTTCTGTTGCCCCTCCTCTGCCCGGCAGCTGCGCGTGGAGCTGAGCCTGACATGATGCCCGGTCAGATCCCCGACCCCTCGCTGACGGCGGGCTCCCTCCCCAGCCTCGGGCCGCTGGCCGGCATCCCCGCCGCCGCCACCCTGACGGCCGACGAGCTGAAGTACGCCGACCTCCGCAACATCGGCGCCATGCTGTCCCCACTGCACTTCCTGGGCGTGAAGCTGGGCAAGAGACCGGCGCCCATCAAGGGAGAGGTGAGACTGGCCCTGTCCTCCAGGCACAGGCACCTTCGTCTCGTATGCTTTCAAAGAGAAACTCTGTTGCAGAAGTGGCTGTTGGACACTTGGAGAGAGCTGGCACAAGCTCTGCGCCCGCAGGAGTCCACCCTGTGTGTGTCGTATGAGAGGAAAGTGCACAGGGGTTTTCTCAGAAGTCTGGCCTTGTGCTAGGTACTGTTGCACAAAGGTCTGTGTTTAGAAATACTGTGTCAGTTTATATACAGGTGCCTGCTTTGTTCTGTGGACCTGTGAATTAGGGTGTTACAAGACCATGCATATTTAAAATAAATTTCAATAAGCAGGCAGGGCCGTTGAAAAGGAAAAGGTTTAATTTTTTTTTCTGGCACTTGGGGAAAAACTGACATTTTCCTCCTACATATTTTTTTTCTAACGCGCTGTGTGAAGTTAGCTAACATTAGCTACTACCGCCCTCTGCAGGTCCGAATGAGAACTACGTCGTTATTTTTTTGGTGGGGGGATGTCAAATTCTAATTCCATCTTCTCGAAAACTCAACGTACTATCTTTTCCATAGAGCACTTACTGTTTGTTTGTTTGTTTGTTTGTTTGTTTGTGTGGGCACAGGCAGTTTTGGAAACCAAACAAAATATCACCTTTAATTGATATTTCCCCCTTATGAGCAGTCAAAGGCTTTCAGCTGGTACTGAGAAAGTAGTGTTTTATTAAAACCTGTAGTTTCCCAACTTTGGGGGGCTTTTCTTTAAAACCCCCCTCCCCTTCCCCACTCGCACACACTTCTCCTGGGCGGCTGCAGGCCCAGTCCCTGGGCCGAGGTGTTGGCTTGACCGCGTCCTCTCCTTGTGTGCCCCGCAGATGGACGAGGAAGAGGAGCGAAGGAAAAGGAGGCGAGAGAAGAACAAGGTGGCCGCGGCGCGCTGTCGAAACAAGAAGAAAGAGCGGACGGAGTTTCTGCAGCGGGTGAGCGCTGGCGCTGGGGCGGGCGATGTGTGGGCCTGGCTCTGGGGGTCTGTGGGTGGGGGTTCGCTCCCCATGGCTCACTCTCGGAAAGTGCGTGCAGAGCTCGGCGCAGGTGCTGTGTGCCCCAGCGGTCTCATTTCCCAGGGTGAAGCAGCACTCTGACCCACTCCTCCTGGGATCACGCCCCAGCCAGCTCATGCCCAGAGGCCTTGTTTAAAGGCCAGGAGCAGGCTTGACATGTACAGTTGTCCCTTTCCAGCTCCTGGCTGTGCAGGGAGGACCTTAAAATTAACATCTTGATAACTAAGTTATAATCCATTTTCAACCCTGTTCCTCAATAATATGATACAATAATAATAATTGCTTACACTTATATAGCACTTTTTCTGGACACTCCACTCAAAGCGCTTTACAGGTAATGGGGACTCCCCTCCACCACCACCAATGTGCAGCCCCACCTGGATGATGCGACGGCAGCCATAGTGCGCCAGAACATTCACCACACACCAGCTCTCAGTGGGGAGGAGAGCAGAGAGAATGAAGCCAATTCATAGATGGGGATTATTAGGAGGCCATGATTGGTAAAGGCCAATGGGAAATTTGGCCAGGATGCCAGGGTTACACCCCTACTCTTTTCGAGAGACACCCTGGGATTTTTAATGACCACAGAGAGTCAGGACCTCTGTTTTACATCTCATCCGAAGGACAGCACCTGTTTACAGTATAGTGTCCCCGTCACTACACTGGGGCATTAGGACCCACATGAGCCACAGGGTGAGCACCCCCTGCTGGCCCCACTAACACCTCTTCCAGCAGCAACCTTAGTTTTTCCCAGGAGGTCTCCTATCCAGGTACTGACCAGGCTCACACCTGTTTAGCTTCAGTGGGTTGCCAGTTGTGAGTTGCAGGGTGATATGGCTGCTGGCCATGCTTAAAATGCTTAACTAGACTAATTATCTTGTTAAAAATCATTTGTTGGGCGGAATTAATAACAGACGTAGACTGTCAGTTAAAAACGTGAAAGCTGGGGTGAAAATCAGAAAATGGGTGCCCTTTGAGGTCCAATTTTTAAAAAGAGATCCCTTTGGTCCAGCTTCATCGCCGCCGCCCCTGAGAGTTGGGCACTCCCAGCGTGTGACGCGTCTGGAATTCCCTTGCAGGAGTCGGAGCGCCTGGAAGTGATGAACGCGGAGCTGAAGGCCCAGATCGAGGAGCTGAAGCACGAGAGGCAGCAGCTCATCGTCATGCTGAACCGGCACCGGCCCACCTGCATCGTGCGGACCGACAGCGTCAAGACCCCCGACAGCGAGGCCAACCCCCTGCTGGAGCAGCTGGCTGCCAAGTGAGGGGACTGGCTTGGCTGCTGGGGGCACCCTCTCGCACCCTGGACTTTAAAACAAACGAAACAAAACGAAAAGCTGCTGGAGCCGGCAGCACTGCGATCTGCATGAGAAGGATTTGAAGGAAGTTGAGATTCCTGGCGAGTTCTGGGGGTCTGAGGTTAGCTGCGCGAGACTAGGGGCTGGCAGCGGGGGGGGGCTGGTTTGGTCTTCCCCGTCCCTCGGATTCAGTCCACGAGATTATTGCTGCCGTCACTACAAACACAACAAACAGTCATGTCTGTCCGTCAGCGAAACACTCTAACGAGGTTCAGAAGATCTGTCCTGGTCTCAGGTACTCAGACAGCAACTTCCTTCCTTTTGCCAATGTATACTGGTTTAAATAACAGCTGTAGTATTTTATAATATTGATTATATCCTGCCCTTGAGTAAGGCAATCTCCGGTTGAACCGGCTCTATTGGCGCTGGCGTCATTAAAGCACATATATATATATATCTATTGTTTACAGTCTTGCTGTTACATCATTGTTACTTCCAGTTTTACAATGTATTTTTATGAATTTTTTATACTGCAATATATATTAAAAATATATATGATGTGTAATCACTAGATGTGATACAATTTACATTTCTGTTACGAACAGATATAGCTTTTTTTTTATTCCGTGTTGTGTGTCCGATTTTTAGTGTTCGTTTTTTTTTTGGGGGGGCTACGAAGGAGCTCTGTGATCTCTCCTTTTTGTATTTTTTTTTCCCCCAACATGTATGTCTTGGTTACCCTGTTCCATACTAATTAAATGTTATTTTAAAAAAAACTAAAGGTGTGTGTGTCTTTGTTGTAAATGACCACGTTTTCTGGAAAGCGCGCTGATGCGGCGGAGAGGCAGTCTGATGTTCCCAGGGTCTTCTGAAGCCACCTGCAGGTAAGCAGTGGGAATGTGGGCTCTTCTGCATAACTCCGACAGGATAGATGCTGGCTTAAGCTGAGGTAGTTGGTATAGGCATATGTTGGGGAAATATAGAAGGGCTAGTTGGTGTAAAATTTAAACTTGAGCACAGTACTTGGACTATCGGTTACAATTGTTATTGAATTTGAAAATCAGTAACTTGTGGTACTAGGATGTGACCAGTAGGGGCGTTCTTGCATACTGAGGGGTTAATAATGAGTAAAGTTGTAAGGCTTTGACTGTTTCCCCATCTCGCTGCTGCATTTGGAAAGGGAGAGGGAATGTGCCATTGGCCCTGGAGTTCCTGTCATCCCTGGTCAGGGCTCTGGCCCAGAACACTTGTGAGGGTTGCAGAAGACACGAAGACGGGATAATAATAATAACTGCTTACACTTATATAGTGCTTTTCTGGATACTCCACTCAAAGGGCTTTACAGGATGCATTGCAATCTCTGCACACACCCCTAAGAAGGAGCCACTCGGGACTCGGTGAATGTGAAGCATAGCATAGAAATCAAGTGATGTTTTATTAAACTAGCAAGAATCTAGAGCTCTGCCCGGGTCTAAGGGAGTGTCCTGCACTGTCGGGCTAGAGTACCTGAACCTTATCATACTGAACAGCAGAGACTATTGGGGGTGATATAAGTATTTAGAATCCTCAAAGCCGCTGATGGTCAATCCAGTGAATTTCTTCAAAATCAACAACAGTGTGCCTGCATCAGGGCCGTCCGGTCCCAGTCCTGGTGGGGTCAGTGTGTCTGCAGCACAGCTGTCCAGTCCCAGTCCTGGTGGGGTCAGTGTACGTGCAGGAGGGCTGTCCAGTCCCGGTTGTGGAGGGGTCAGTGTGCCTGCAGGAGGGCTGTCCAGTCCCGGTCGTGGAGGGGTCAGTGTGCCTGCAGCAGGGCTGTCCAGTCCCGCTCCTGGAGAGGTCAGTGTGTCTGCACAATGCATTTCTTCAAAGCCCAAGCTCCCTAAGAGCTGAGAAATGCTGTTAAATTGATCCCATAAGGACAATTGATAAGGATTGATATGATTTAAGTCGTTTAGAGGTGTGATGGAATGAAACTGCAGGCTCTGTGATTGTCCACCAAGTTCTAGGTGGTAGCCTTTTTAAATCTCTTCTGACATGCAGTAGAACTCAATACTGTTGTCTGCCAGTATATTTTGCGAGTACCAGAACGAAATAAAAGTCCTGTGTCACTAGGATATACATACATAACTTTCCACGTAATCGGAAATCAACAGAACCATTTAAATCCGTTGTGATTATTTCGGACATTTTATAATAACCCTTTAGAAGTCAACTAAATGTAGAGAATTTCATATGATTAGTGTTGTTATCAGACAATTACCGTTATGTATTATCAAAACACACTTAGTGTTCGTTAAAATATTGCGGAAAATTAAGCTGTTACATTCAAAGTACGTTTAAGTTCAATCTTCCACCGCTAGGCAGCGCTAGGCAATGCATTCTGAAACCTGTGACGTCACGGGTGGCGGCAAGTGAAGAGCTCTACAAGCGCAGCTCTCTCTCGCCGGGCACGGTGGCGCGTGCCTGTAATCCAAGCTACTGGGAGGCTGAGGCTGGCGGATCGCTTGAGCTCAGGAGTTCTGAGCTGCAGCGGACTATGCCGATCGGGTGTCCGCACTAAGTTCGGTATCGATATGGTGCTCCTGGGGGAGCCCGGGACCACCAGGTCGCCTAAGGAGGGGTGCACCGGCCCAGGTCGGAAACGGAGCAGGCCAAAGCCCCCGTGCCGCTCAGTAGTGGGATCGCGCCTGTGAATAGACGCTGCAGTGCAGCCTGAGCAATATAGCGGGACTCAGTCTTTTGCTTTCAAAATGTGAAAATAAAACTTTTTGGAGTTTTGAAACACACGCACAGCCTTGTTTTGGGAATAATCGCGTTTGTAATAGTTTTTTTTTATTAGAAGTGAATTTCTAAAATCACAGCATTAGATAGTAAAACAATAACACCGGTTAGATTGCTGTTGTTAACCCACTGTACAGCGCGACACAATGTTATATGTGAATAATATTTACCTTACTATGTACAGAATTCCGAGGTACCCGCATTACTAGCGCTTTGCTTGTCTGCCCCCTACTGGACTCATCCTCTTAACATATTTTGTGAAGTGCAGTGCTGAGCAGATCCACAAGGAGACACTGTTGGGCAAGGATGCCGTAGTGAAAAATAACAGAACAGTATAGCTTTTAGATAGATAGATACTTTATTGATCCCGTGAGGGAAATTGCAGTGCAACAGCAGCTTAACACACACAACACAGCCACAGTGTAACGAATTATATAATAATAGTACAATACATACAATGCAATACAAGAGTTACTCACAGTCCGGACACACAAAGAACAAACTAGTACAGAACAGTACACAGAAAAATCGTATCACACATATGAATATAAATATAGATATAAATATAAATGTATTGCACAGGTCCCTGGCATATATTGCACAAGAAATGGTTGTAAACGAATCTTTTAATTAGAGATTAATTATATTTATTTGAATAAATCCATATTAATAATAATAATTGCTTACACTTATATAGCGCTTTTCTGGACACTCCACTCAAAGCGCTTTACAGGTCTCCCCTTCACCACCACCAATGTGCAGCCCCACCTGGATGATGCGACGGCAGCCATAGTGCGCCAGAACGCTCCCCACACATCAGCTATCAGTGGGGAGGAGAGCAGAGTAATGTAGCCAATTCATAGAAGGGGATTATTAGGAGGCCATGATGGGGTAAAGGCCAGGGGGAAAATTTGGCCAGGACACCGGGGTTACACCCCTACTCTTTTCGAGAAACGCCCTGGGATTTTTAATGACCACAGAGAGTCAGGACCTCGGTTTTACGTCTCATCCGAAGGACAGCGCCTGTTTACAGTATAGTGTCCCCGTCACTGTACTGGGGCATTAGGACCCACACAGACTGCAGGGTGAGCGCCCCCTGCTGGCCCCACTAACACCTCTTCCAGCAGCAACCTTAGTTTTTCCCAGGAGGTCTCCCATCCAGGTACTGACCAGGCTCACACCTGCTTAGCTTCAGTGGGTTGCCAGTTGTGAGTTGCAGGGTGATATGGCTGCTGGCCATGCTTAAAATCCCACGACAGAACCAAAGGGGAAACAGGGAATATTAATACCTAAATAGTGCAAGAATTCAAAACAAAATACATGACATAGAAGCTACCACATTAGCAGGCAATTATGATATCACTGGGACCACAGAAACATTGCTAACTGAAAGCTATGGAAAGGAATGTAGCAGATACACACTGTTAGAGGATGGTCAGACCAAATATATAGAGTCCAGGGTATGCTATAGATCACCAAATGCAAATGTTGAGTATAAATCAACTGTATCTTAAAATGAAGAATAATGTGCAGAGGAAGACATCCTTTTTATGGGACTTGTTAGACAAGGTTAAGAACCTTCTTATCCAGCTAGTTGGAGCAGACAGTAGAGTAAGTGCTCGTACTGATGTTGTCTTTTCAAACAACCAAGACAGAGTGAGACACAGGTGAGAGACTCACCAGGGAACTGTAATCATAATATGTTGTGCTTTGAAGCATGTTTTGAAGCTGGACAGAGTGAAGCCCAAATCAAACGTTTGCAATTCCAGGAAAGCCTGAAGGGCTGAGGCAGAGAATGCGAGCAGCCGACTGGGACGGGAGAGACATGGAATCAGAGGAGACTGGATGACAACAGACTGAGCAGCAGCAGAAGCTAAGTATCCAAATAGTGCAACAGATTAGGAAAAAATATAGAGGGAAAGAAAACTCTGAGGGTTAAAGCGCAGCAGGATCCAGTTAAAGAAAAGCCGTACAAAGAATTGTAACTTCAGCTTACAAAAGATGTTGGAAAGGCCAAGAGAGATGGAAAGGAATATTGCAAGGGGGGTCTAAGATATTAAAATGTGCTTGCAGTACTACAACAGCAAAAGGTGAAGCATTAAGGGTGACGCAAAATGTATCAGAGACAACAGTGGTTAAATACTAGACAATGAAAGGGTACTGATGCATTGAAAAGTATTTCACTCAGGCGTTCACTAAGGAAAGAACATACCTCGGGCTGCAAAGACAAGTCCCATATTAAACAGTACCAGCTTAGACGAGACAGAGGAAAGACTCAAGATTATCTCCAGGATGCAGAAGCCATTGACACACACTCGAAGAAGGCTCCACAGCTGAAAGGTTGTGTTTCTTTTCTTCTCTTTTCAGCCTGGAATAAACCTTGACTTGTTCCTTTGCAGCCTACGCATGCTGACGCAGCTCCCCACCTGAACTATTAAAGAGGAACTGTTACGTCTGACATTTCATTCATTTCACACTCAACCCATGAAGCATGAAGACTGTACTTTGGTGTGCGAGTGCTTTTGTTCAGTATAACCACTAGGTGACTCCACATACTAACAGCCTGAAGGCATGATCTATGAAAAATCAGCCAGTTGTTTGGTTGCAACGAGCTAATTACTAATATCTTGCATTTTATATATATATTCATTTTTTATACTTTTTATCCCAAAGGATTTCAAATTGCTTTGCATCTAGAGAGATCCTCCTTCATCAATTGATTGATTAGAATCTAATCCCCCTTCATCAATTGATTGATTAGAATCTAATCCAGATGTTTCTTGACAGATGGTATCTGCTCCAATAGCAAGGCTAGGGAATGTGTTCAAGACTTTTTCATCGCTTCCTCTTGTGTCCCCTGGTCTGTCAGTTATTGTTGATTCTATAGACGTCCACTGAGTTGACTTCAGGGTGGCATGGTGGTGCAGTGCTGGGGCCCTGGGTTCAATTTCTGGGGTGCTGTCTGTGTGGAGTTAGTATCTTCTTAC